ACTCGGGGGTGGAGCAGGGATGCCAGACAGGCTGGACCATGCTTGGCCCAGGTGACTCAGGCCCTGGCCAGTTCACCCAGCACGGCCTGGAAAAGCCATTCCCAATGCTCCTGCCTACTGGGGAAGGTTTCCCAGTCCAAGCTGTCTCCTGCTGGATTAATAATTCACACAGCGAGGCAGGGCGCAGCGACCTCCACCCCTCTCGCATGTCCAAGGATCCGGGAGCTGCTGGAATGACGAGCAGGGAGAGGATGATGGGGATGGTCACAACAGAGCTCTGGACACTTGGGCACTGCTGCCCATCCTGCCAAGGCCATGGGGTGCAGGGAGACGCACCAGGAGAGCATCTCTGGATCCCTGTGCCAGGTACAGGTCTTGTTTCCAAACAGTTTTTCCTTCCATGGAGGACGTGGGTGGATTTGTTGCCGTGAAAATGAGACACTAATAATGCTGGCTGGGTGCCAGGCCTGTTCTCACCTCCAGCACTGACAGCTCCCCAAAATCCTCCTGCCAGCCCCATTCCATGGCAGTCCCCCCACCCCAGAGCCCCCCTGGAGATGTGGGAACAGCCAGGAGTGCCCAGAGCCCAGCCCTGTCTCCTCCAGCCCCCGAGGCTGCCAGAGGGGCTGGAATTGCCTGCCTGGCAGCTGACAGCCTGAGCCAATTCCCACAGGATCAAGCTGGAAAAATTCCTTTATGCCCAGAGCCTCGCTCAGCCACATTCAACCCTGTTCAGCATCAGGGCAGCCGGAGCATTCCGGCTCCTGCTCCTGGTCCCTACAGAGGGCACAAGGAATGAGAGGCAGGCAAAACACATCCAGCACTGTGGAGCTTCAGAAGAGATTCTCAGTATCTGGAAACGGCTGGATTCCCTCAGGGAGAAACCATCATCTTCATCCTGGTGTTGGCCAAAGCCCCCAGAGACCAACACAGGGAAAGAAACCATGGAACCATTAAGGATGGAAAAGATCTGTGAGATCACTGAGTCCAACAATTAATGAGGATCCAGCAAATTTGAAGCTCTTTCCTGCAAACACATTTCCTGTTTAAAACCTTTTCCCCAAGCATGGCAACCTCCCTGTCCCAGTTCTTGGATGGGCAGGGAAATTAATAATGTGTTCAGCCAGGAAAAGTTTCCCAAGTCTTCTTGGTTACTAAAGGATTCGTCAGCGATCCTCCCTCCCAAATTAGACCTTGTAGACCCCCCCAGCTGATGAATCAGCTCTGCCATCACTGCATCCCAGCATAATTTGTCTTTCAACCTAACAGCTCCCATCCCACTCCAAGGACGTGGAGCAAGAGTAGGCAGCAAAAAAACCCAAGACCCTGTGTGCTGGACTGGGGAGAGCAGGAAAAGGTGGGGAGGGGACAGAGGGAGTTTCTTCCTTCACTGCTCGAGTTCATGTTCTGGACATCGATCCATGTGAGGACAGGGAAGAGGCAGAATTTTGGGGATTGGCACCTCCTTGCCTCAGCATGACCCTGAAGCAGGAAAGGGACTGGGAAGGGCACATCCCTCAAAACAGAGGGCACAGCATAGCGGGGGAAACCTTGAGAGCCTCCAGCAAGCAAAGGGACAGGGTGTTGTCACCACTGTCACCTGCCAGCTACACCTGGGCACAGGTAATGGGCTGGGCAGCTCCTGCTGGGAGGTCACTGAGCCCATGCTGGGGTGTGGGTGCTCTCCTTCCCCCATGTGGTGCTGAGTCCTTCCTTCCCAGCAAGGGGACAATCCTGGTGGTGACTGGGGACATGGCCCTGAGCCACCCATGCCAAGTGGCAGCTGTTTTTCCCCAAAACAACACCCTGAGGAGTGACCAGTGGGTCAGACAGGTGCCAGCTGGGAGGGAGCCACCAGGAGAGGCTGAAGGGAATGTCCCTGGCTGGTGGCCCCAGTGAGATCCCTCCTGCCCTGAGTCCAGTGAGCCATTCCTGAGCCATTCCTGGGTGAGAACCTGGCCAGGGCCATCCCACAGCAGAGACAGGCACGGATTTGGGGGTTTTATTTCCATTCAATCCTGTTCCAATTCCATGGGGTCCCATCCCTGAGCAGGAACCAGCAGCTCCCAGAGCTGCGAGCTGCTGAGGCCGAGCTGGTGAATGAAGGGGATCAGAACCCGCTGTGCCTGCGGGTCACAGTGACACAGGGACACGGGGACATTTCCATCCGGAAGGTTCAAATGCCTTGTTCGCCGTCCGTGGCACCGCAGTGCCTGGAATTCTAATCGGCCGCAAAGCAGCTCTAATGGAATTTGCACAGGAGCTGGGAGCTGCTGGAGGGATTCGATGGCACTCGCAGATAAAGGCAGGCGGGAGGGCGAGGGAGACGGGGGTGGCAGCGCGTTCCTTCCGCACGCCGAGGCTGAGGGAACGTGGGCTGGATTCCATCAGGAGCAATTTCCTCGCTGGGAGGCAGCGGAGTGGCCGCCCCCAGCTCCCCGAGGGTGGGGGAGAGCTGGGATCCCACCGGGAACGGCAGCACATGGATCCCCGAGCTTGTTCAGGGATGGGGAGGCGACCTGGGACCTGGTGAGACAGGAATCACCCGGCAAGGAAAAAACAGCGTTCCACTGGTTCTCATCTGCAGGGCTGGAGCAGAGACTGAGGGGAGGCGGAGGGGCAGGGGCTGAGCTCTGCTCTGGGACAGGAGCCCAGGAAGGGCTGGAGCTGTGCCAGGGCTTGGGATGGATCTCAGGGCAAGGTTCTTCCCCCCGAGGCTGCTGGCACTGCCCAGGCTCCCCAGGGAATGGGCCCGGCCCCAAGGCTGCCAGAGCTCCAGGAGCGTTTGGACAGCGCTCTCAGGGATGCTCAGGGTGGGAATGTTGGGGGGTCTGGGCAGGGCCAGGGGCTGCACTGATCATCCCTGAGGGATCCAGCTCAGGATATTCTGGGATTTATTCCCCACAGCTGATGGTTTATTCACGACCAGTGGGGCCAGCATTGCCCAGCTCGTTTTCCCATCCTGGCAGCTGTGTGGTTTCTGTTTGCCCTGCTAATCCAGGAAGGTGCTGCAGGTACCAGGATACACTGACACAGGAGCTGCCGCCAGCCCCGCTTCCTCCTCCCCACTGTGATCCTTGGCTCCACACCAGGGTTTGCTGCTGCTGCCCAGCCCAGTCAGGCAGGATGGCAGAGCCACCTGTGTCCCCAAGGGTCCCCAGGAGGGCTGGGAGCAGCCTGGGGACACTGCAGTGACAGGGATGGGGTTGGGGGAGCCCCTGGGGTGGGAAAGCCTCATGTTGGGAGTCCTGCTCGACCCAAAAGCAGCGGGAGCAGAACATTTCAGGCTCCAAATGCAGCTGCCCCAGGCTGCCTGAGCTCAGGGGTTTTGAGGAGCAGGTGCTGGGCTGGGGGGTGCACTCTACAGATATCACCTCAGATTTTACCCCCAACATTTTCCCTTCTTGTCCACTTATTATTACCTTATTTTTGTCAGTGCTGGGGTGTGCTTGGCACAGTCATGGGACCGTCTTGGATGGGTGTTTCTGCAAAACTGGCCCTTAAAAAGGGGAGGAAATCATTCCTTGGTGGAGTTGTTACCTTGGGGTGACTTCAGTGCCAGAAGGGACACCTGGACCCAGACATGAGGGCTCACTTAGGGGTTGCAGTGGGAGGAAGGGCAGGTGAGGATCCCAGCGCTGCTGTCACTTGAAGCCCAGGCAGTGAGAGAGGGGAAAGGTGCCTCTCCCTCCTGCTTGGATGAAAACCCTTCACCTGATGGTGCTTCTGCTGGGCACAGCTCAGAACAGCAGGTCCCTGGCCAAAGGAACTTCCATTGTTATTACCCAATATTTATTAAAAGTAACTGGGCTTAGTCACGGGCTCAGGCTGTGTGTGCAGAGCAGGGCTCTGGCAGGGAAAATGAGGTGAGCTTGTCCCCCCTCAGGGGCTCGTGCTCCAAATGAACAGTTCTAAAGACATGGAGACACTGGGGTCAGGGCAGAGAGGAAACTGGCTTTGGAGGGGGAACAAGAGTGTTTGCAGGGGAAAAACCCCAGGTCCCTGCTCAGCAGGTCATGGATGTCACTCGTGGTGTGGCAGCCACTCTCCCCTGTGTCCCCCAGACCCCACAGTGGGGCTGTGCCCTCTGCTTTCTGTGCTGGAGTCCTGCCAGAGTGCACACCTGAGGTGAAGCTGCATTTTTGGGTGTGATGGGTGACCAGGCCAGAGCGAGCCCATGGGACCTCCTGGTGCCACCTCTGCAGGTCCCTGGGAGAGGGTGGCTCCAGGCTGGATGGAGGGGACAACACAGGGCGGTGTCCCTGGGTCACAGTGACTTCCAGCCGTGCAGTGTCACCCTGCAGTGGTGCTGGGGGCACTGCAAAGCCTCTGGCCAGCACAGAATAAACCCCCAGCTCAGCCCCAGGGACGAGTCCTGGCGACGGCGCTGTCCCCAGTCCCTGTGGTGTGGCTGGCTCTGCTCAGGGGCATTTGGGGCTGGGGGGTCTGGGCTGCCCAGCCAGAACTGCCTCCCTGGCACCCCCAAGCCCTCATGGCATCAGTCCAGCACCAAAGTGACTCCTGGTGGGCTCCCCAGAACCCAAATTCTGTAGGACCACGTGGAGTGGGAGCATGCAGCCAGTTCCTTCGAGGAGTCCATCGAGGTTCCGTTTTGGCAAAATTGACGAGTACCAGGAGCCTGCTCTCATCACGAGGCTCCCACTGCTGCATCCTGAGTGGGGACAAAAGCCTCTTGGGCTGTCACTGGAGCTGGCAGCGCTGGAATGCTGCATTCAGGCTGGCAGGGGACCAGCGTGGCCGGCGGCAGGAGGGGCTGGCAGGGACCCTGCAGGCAGGGAGAGGCTCTGGATCCTGGGATCAGCAGGGAAAGATTCCTCACTTCACCACAAAGGACAAACTGGGGGCAAAAGGGACTTTACTTCTCACTTTGTTTGAATTATTTTTCTCTCCTTGGCACGTTTCAGTCAAAAACTCTTTGGGATTTTGAGTGTGTGCCAGAGCAGCTGCGGTTTTTTTATTTCTCTCACACTTCTTTTTTTTTTTTTCCCCTAAATCATTTTGCTGAGTCTGTGTGAAAATGCCCCAGAAAGCAGCAAAACTTGTCAAGGCACTCCCAGGGCCGGGGCTCACTTGGAACAGCATCTCCAAAGGCAGGGACCCTCCCTGGAGCACGGGCCCTGACAACCTCAGGGTCCTGCCACTTCTGTGTGTCCCCCCAAACTGGGGGACAGTTGGGCTGGGTGCTCTTGAAGGTCTCTTCCCACCGTGATGATTCCATGATTCCACTTGGATTTGTGTTCCCAGCTGGCACCCAGGTGGCCCCATTTCATCCCAACCCCGATGTTCAGCAAGACTCTGGGGGGTTTTGGTGGTTTATGGGTCCCCATCCTCATTTGTGGGGATGTTATTTTTGTTTAGGTCCAGGCTCCTGGGACAGAGGTTCCAGGTGTGGGTAAAGCCCCCTAAGGAGGGGAGCAAGTCCCATCTAAGCACCCCAAACGCCACAGCCCCTGGCAGGGACCTCCTCCCCTAGCTCCTGGCCTAAGATCACTTTGGATTTATGTTCATATTGAAGCAAATTTGAATTAATTGGAGCACGAGACAAAGGGCCATGTGGGATTCTCCTGTGTCCAGTGCCAAACTCTGGCTTGGGAAAGCAGAACTGGTCACCTCAGCCTGGTGTTTCTCCTCCACAGCTTTGTCCTGTTCCCTTTTCAAAGCCCAGAGAAATGCCAGAAGGGCATTGGAGTTAATGGGTGGGAGAGAGAGCCCAGAGGGGGAGCAGGGCTGAGCCAAAACCCAGAGCACAGGCTCGAATCACAACCTGCCTGTTCCCTTATCCAACCCTGTGCCTTGGCTTCCCCCAAAATAAAATAATGGCATGAAGGGGGCACAGTAAGACAGAAATAACTTTATTTTCTGGTGAGGTGCTTGGGGGAGGGGACAAGGACAAAGCAGCCTCCTCCAAGCTGGGACTCCCCCAGTGCATTTGCCAGCAGTCTGCTCCCCCAAAATCACCTCTAACCCTGGCCTGCAGGCAGGAGAGCATCTTCCATCAGGCAAAATCAGCTCAGCCCTTGGCTCCCAGCACCGGGATCGGGAGCTGTGTGGAAGCAGCAGCAATTCCCCCACCCTTGATTAAAACAGCACAGCCTGCGGAGCCAGGGCTGGGGGGACGCTGCTAAATTGACTCTGTGCTTTTGATGCAGCAGTTTAATGACTGTGTTCAAATTAGCCAGAATCACCTTTCCATCCTGGGGAATGGAAATGAGACGTGGATTGCTCCAGCACACCCTCCCCCCAACGCCAGCCTCTTAAAAATCCATCCCCAACTAAACCAGCTGCAATTTCCATGCCTGGATTTTTCATCTTTTCCTAAGCAGATAAGTTGATATTGTTTAAAACAGCAATGAAATTCCTTCCCAGCCACATAAATCTCCTGGTTTTAAGCGTGGATCCAAGGCTGAGGCTGGGGGTGAAGCTCAAATGGGAAAGCCCGAGCTGCGTGTGCCTGCAATGAAATTATAAATCCACATCCCGGAGCAAGCGAGCAGCAGGAGGCACCAGGAACCTCCATCAGCAGAAGCGCTGGGCTGCAGCAAGGGATGGGAGTTGGGAGTGGAACCGACAAGGCTGGGAGAGCTGTTGGCATTTCTCCTGACAAAATCCTGCACAAATGGAGCCAGTCCAGGTGAAACCACGGCATTGGACCCACCTGGTGTTCAGTGCTGAGCCCCGTCCCTTCCCCTGAGTTCTGCCCTCAGTTTCCTCAGCTGTAAAGTGGAGAAGATGCTGCCAAGCCCTGCTTGAAAAGCGCTGTCAGACCCAGCAAATGTCACCGAATGGCTCAGGTGGAGCTTGGTCAGCTGGCACACAGCACATCAAAGGCACAGGACACTCTGCATCTGAGGCCAGGGACCAGCAAGGCTGAGGCCAGCCTGGACTGACCAGTGATGAGCGGAGAGGAGCAACAATTCCACCCTGCAGGTCAGAGCCAAGGAGGGAATTGGCCTCTGCCATCCTCAAAGCCCAATTAACCAAATCACCACAGCCCAGGAGGCTTCTGCAGGAGGGAAGAGGAGCAAGAGGAGAACTCCAATGAGGAATGGGCAGTGGTGAGTGCTGTCCCCATGGGGCATGGGGGTGCTGCTGGGGGGCTCCAGGTCATTGTCCCGTGAGCCTGGCGTCTCCCTGGCCCTGCTGCAAGGGACAGTGGAGCCCAGTGCGGGGGCACAAACACAGGAGCCCTGGCTCGGGGCTGCGCTCATTCCTGAGGTCACGGCTCTGTTTGTGCCCTGATTGCCTCAATTTCCCATGGGATGGAGGGGAAATGGCCGTGTTCATCCACAGCCACCTCCACCTCCAGTGCAGAGGGCACAGGTGAGGTGGTCCTGAGACCCTGTCCTGGGGCAGGCAGGGGACACTGGGCTGGGGGATGCGAGCAGGCTGCCATGGGGATGGGGTGGGAGAGTGTCTGGGGGTGCTGGTACGGAGCTGAGGGACGCAGGGGGGGTGGCAGGTGGTGGCAGTGGGTGCTGGCACTGGGGTACCCCAAGGCGCGGCCATGGGGTGGGGAACCTCAGGCGGGGCACTCCAGGGCTTGGCACCCCAGGCACCCTTTTCTCACGGCNGTGGCGGTGCTGTCGCCGCGGCTCCGGGTCCAGCCCGCCCCTGCTCCGCTCCATCCCCCGGCGCTCCCGGGGGTCCGGTACCCGCAGTCCCCCCGCTCCCCGTCAGGGCTGGGGCCGCCGCTCGCAGCCCCTTCCCCCGGCACAGCCGAGCGGGTCCGAGCATCGCCGGGCGTCGGGAAAGCTTTGCCCATCTCCTCTCGCTCGTGTTTCCCCCCCGGGCGCTGCAGGTCCTCACTCCTCGCCACCCCAGGGCCCTTCCTGCCTCTTCCCCGAGCATCCCGGATTTTCGGCGGATTTTCCTGCCGAAAATTCCGAGGGTTGGTTTAGCCGCGGATGTTACCAGGTTGTGTTTCTCGGAGAAATGGAGCAGGCAGCAAGCGCAGCATTCCTGGCTCCTCTTGCCGTGCTGGAATAGCAGCCTTTGCCTCTTCCCACTCTCCATCCAGAGTACTTTTGTGCCAGTTCCTTAATCCACTTGGAAAGCGGATTTGAGCTAAAACCTGACAAAAGGTGCTCCAATTCCCACGGCGTTCGTGCAGGCAGCGGTTACAGAGGAGCAGCTGCTTCATCTGTTCCTGCCCAGCCTTACCCTGAGATGAGGTTTTTGGGAAGGAGAAAAGAGCAGCCAGGAAGGGAGAGGATGGCAGGAGAAGGCAGAGTGCCTGTGAATGTGATGGAGAGTGGAGCCGTGCCGGGCTCTGCAGCCTGGCAGCACCCAGAGCACAAAGCCAGTCCTTGGGAGCGAGGAGCATTGGAACGGAGCGGCTGGAGCGGGAAGTGACCGGGATTGGGGATGTTTGGTGGCCTGGTGAACACCAGCCCAGGCCTGGCAGAGCTCCTGGCTGCTGCTTGGCTCTCCCACCCGCTCTCACCCTGGCTGGGGACGCACGGCCTGCAGGATGGAGACCCCAAAACCCAGCCCTGAGATAGGGGTGTTACTGTGGGAAAAGCCTCATCCAGGCAGGGAAAAGTTCCTACAGATCTCCCAATCAAAGCACGAGGCATTAAAACCAAAAAGCCCTCCAAGAGCAGAATTGCCCAGCAGTGACATGATTATGTGCAGGTTAAAATTCAAAATGCAGGTGTTGAACCCTGCAATAACCCTGTGGGAAGTGCGGGGGCCGTGAAGTTGCTCTGCACCCCAGAGCTCCATCACCCCTTGCAGGATGGAGATGGAATAAAATCCTGGCACACCAGGGCATGCCAGAGAACGTGGTGCACGTCCTTTAAATGGGAAAATAATTGAGGATGAGCTGGGGAGCTGCCAGTTGGGCAGCCTGGGGTTGATCTGGTTTAATTTTGTGCTGATGTTTTTATGTGGCACTCACGAAGGGGAAGCAGCAGAGCTGCTGCCTCTTGCTGCTGGAGGACTGGTGGAGCCGGCTGGGTTTTGGCCAGAGTAGCTTGGAGAGGTGATTTTTTGGTCCACTCAAAATTTCTTACAGTGTCCACATTGCAGAAACCCCACTCAGGTGCCTGTAGCCTTTCCCAAAGGCTGATCTTGGGGGAAGATGCTCTCCAATGCCCAGCCTGCAAAACAGCTGGAGGAGCATCCCGAGAGCGGGGAGCAGGAGGCAAAGCAGCTTCAGGAAAGAGTTCAAATCTTCAGGAAAGAGTTAAAAATCAGTAGATTTTGCTTTTATCCTGCCCTGTTGGAGGAGGGAGCAGGAGGACTGGAGGAGCAGGGGCTGGGTTGTGTTTCTCCTGTCCGAGGCACCGATGCCGAGGGTGGGACGTGGCTGTGCTGGGCAGAGCTGGGACACATCCCAGGCACAGCTGGGTCCTGCCAGGCTCAGCCTTTCCTGGGGGATGTGCTTTTGCTGATTCCTGGCTGAAGATAGCAGGGCCAGGGGCTTTTTTCCTATTTTGTAGTGTTTAGAGCTCAGGAATGTCTGCTTTTATTAGCTGTGCTAATCCTGCCTCACCAGAGAACTCATCCCTGGCTCCAAGGCCCAAACCTAATCCTTGCTCTTCCCTCCTGGGCCCAAATTAAACACTGGACTCGCAGCCCAGCGGCACAGACACGGCTCTGGCTGCACTCAGCGTTTAAATGCTTTCAGTCCCTGTGTTTGGGATGGATTTTTCCCAACTCCTGCCTGTGGGATCACTCCCAGTTCCCCCCCAGCATCCCAGCAGGGAGCAGGTGGCTCCTGTTCTCTCCGTGAGGAGCTGGAGCTGCCATAAGGCAGGAGGAGCTGGGCTGCTCCAGCAGCTCGGAGCCGTGTCGCTGCCGCGTTCGCATCCCCGGGATGGGAGAGAGGTGTTGGAAGCCCTGGGAATAAGGCTGGGAACGTGAAGCACGTGGCGGGCGCGCTGTGCGTGGGCAGCGGCGGTTCCCGTGCCGCCCGTGGGATGCCTGTCACCAGCAACATCTCCCCACGTCCCCGGTCCCACAGCTCCGAGGGGAGGGAAGTGGGAGCCAAGTGAGGCCATCCCTGGGCTTGTCCCCAGTGACACCGATTCGCCACCAGGCTCCAAAACCCTTCTGCGTGCATCCCGTGCCTCAGTTTCCCTGGCTGTACGTGGCTGTGGTCTGGAGGCCTGGCTTTGGAGGGTGGCACGGTCCCTCCGGCTGCCAAACTCTGCTGCCTGTGCACGGCTGTGGAGCCGAGATGGGATTGTCTGAGCAGGCAGAGGGAGCATCACGGAGCATCCTGCAGGATGGCTGTGGCCCATGGTGCTGCAGGGAGGGGGGAAGGTGCTGCCTGAGCTCAAAGGGTCGCTCTGTGAGTCCTGGAAAAGCCCCAGAACAAACAGGCGAGGGCAGAAATGTTCAGAGAGGAGATGTGAGAGGAGATGAAAAGCAATAAATCCCACGAGAACGCCTGGAAACGCTGCCGAGAGCCACAGTGGCTGTGGAAGGGAAATGGATCGGGCACCCTCGGCTGACTTTTCTGTTTGCGAAGTTTTTGTAGGGTTTACCATGAAAGACAAAGCAGCTGCTTCCATGAGGTTTGGCTCAGGGGTTGTGGGAGCAGGGATGCAGGAGTGGGACAGGCTGGGCCAGAGCCCTTCTCAGCCATTGCCAATGGAATGTGCTGGATTCTCCTGCAGATCCCATTTAAGCCGTGGTGTTTTGGGGCTGGAGCTGGAACCCCGCGGGTGCCCCAGGTCTGTGGGGTGTTGGAGGTGGGGGCTGAGGCTGGGCAGGATGGGGGTGGCAGAGTGGGGAAATGGCCCTGGTTGTGGGACAGCAGAGCCCTCCCCAGGCCCAGGCAGGGGCTGCCATTCCTTCTTCCCCATGCAAAATGGGCAAGCTGAGGACAGCACCAAATTCACCCCAGAACAACGGAACAGCACAGATCCAGATGGAGAATTTGGGCAAACAGAAACAGCTTTACCGGGGATGGGTTCAAAACAAAGCACGGAGGGTCTGGGCTGTGATGCCCAGGCTGCTGTGGTGCCTCAGCATCCACATGGGCACCCCAAGGCTGGGATCCCAGCCCGGGAGCAGAGGCAGGATCCACGTCTCCAAGCACACCCTCCTCCTTCCTCTGCCTCAGCCCAGCTCTTCTCTTGCTTCCCTGCCTTCCTCCCCCTGAATTTTTCATGCCACCACAAGCTCAGCTGCTGCTTGCAGCCCCATCCACCACGAGGGTTTGATTCCCAAAGCTGTCCCAGCTCTGCCCAGCTCAGATCTGGAGCGCCGGGGCTCCTTGTTCAGCTCCCAATGTGCCAACCAAAATAGCAGCGGCCACATACTGGAGTGGAGAGGAACAAGTGTCACTGGGAATTAAAATGACAGATCCCAGCATCAAGGTCTCCGAGGGTTTGTGCTTTATTAAGCAACAGTGAGTTCATGGGAAAGGACTTTGACTCAGAGCACCGGTTGTGTCTACAAGAAAAGAGAACCAGGGACTATATTTAGGCTCAGGCTGTGATGGGGAGACAGGGCCAGGCACTGAGGGAGGGCAGCTGGGCATCCTCAGCTCCATGGGGATGAGCCCTGGCCCCGTAGAACAGAATGGGGAGCAGGAGGTAGGTTTGGGATTGTGGAATCCCCAGTGGTTTGGGTGGGAAGGGACCTTAAAGCCCATCCAGTGCCACCCCTGCCATGGCAGGGACACCTTCCACCACCTTCCACCATCCCAGGCTGCTCCAAGCCCCGTCCAGCCTGGCCTTGGGCACTGCCAGAGATCCAGGGGCAGCCACAGCTGCTCTGGGCACCCTGTGCCAGGGCCTGCCCACCCTCCCCGGGAAGATGCTGCAGAGGAACAACCCCAGTTCTGAGGGGCAGATCTGGAGGGTTCCCCTCCCTGTGCAAGGGGCTGCCTGGGGGTCCTGCACCCCCAGCCCCACATCAGCCATGGCCAGGGGTGTGTGGAGTGGCTGGGAGAGCTCCTCTGAGCAGGAGTCACCTTGGCTGGGACTTGTACAGCATCTGCTGGGTTCACAGAAAAGAGGGGACCAGGACCCTGCTGTGTGGTCCTCACGTGGCTCCCTCTCCCTTTAATGTGGTTTCCTGCTGATGGGAGTGATTTAAC